AAGTGAATACTATATATGAGTACATTTCATTATGGACTGATTGGATTTTGTGAATCTATTTGTTTCATGGTAAAGGGTATCATGCTATTTCAGTACTCACATACCTGATAAAAATTTTGTTGGATTTATCATCACCACTACCGAACAAGATGTGGAAAACCATACAGTAACTTATGAAGTTCGAGTTCTTGACATTTCTACTTTCTGTAACTGGATTTTTACCTTCTCTTGTGATCAATATCGTTATTCGCTCTATCGATGATCAAAAACCATATGAATGATAAACTTTCCAAAGGTACACAGATATTTCGGGTGCATATGTGTCATGATGAGTTCAGATATTTCTGGAATGTGCGCATATCACATAGTCCGGAGACCTAAATCAAACAGGCTCGTTTAGGGTTCAGAAGTTGAATGTTTGTTTTCTTCGGAGATGGACGAGATCATTCATAGACAACTCGAAAGACCAGTTTCCTCATGGCAGTGAGGAAGTCCCAACTAAACACTCTACTCCCTTCCATGGCTCGTCCGACCCGAAGTCTCCGGTGACACTAAGGACTCTTGGCCCATTGTATATCACCTCGAATATGCCGTTATTGATTTCATCATATACAACCCATGGCAATTATGTGAAGGCTTTTTCAAATACCATCTCAGTAATTGTTAGCACTGCTGCTCACAGTACCAGAGGTTTGTTCGAAAGACCCTCCACGTTGATGATCCTGAAGACTACTCTACTGAGCCCTGATCTCTTTCATGAAGGAGACCAAAAGTTTTCCTCCTCCTTCGAGTAATAGAAGAAGCGGTTAATCTATCTCTGTGGTGCCCCCTACACAAGGCTACGGTTATTTCCACTGAAATGTCAGAGGGAGATGTTTCTTCAATGATGTCATAAGAACTTGGTGCCATTCATTCGTCACGGGTGGTTTCCACAAGCTGGGTTAGTTTGCCGGATCCTTGTTTACAAATATGTGGCCACATGAGCAGATGTCCACAAATCACTCCATCCTGGCACGAAAATGTCTACAAAGCAGCAACTGCTTGTCCTACCCGCACCATAGTGAAATTGGACTTTAGGGGAGAAGAAAAAAAAGGAGAATTGGCCGTAAGAGGCCGATAGGAAGGATTTGAAACTGAAGATACAAGAGGATACTATCCAAGACTGGTTTGAGATTGATGCGTATCAGGCTAGGGTACCCAGGTTTCGTCATTCCCATACTCATAAGTCCTGAGCGAAGGGTAAATCTCATTGGGAGTCTGGTGTACACTCCATTGGAAGTCTTTGGAAGTCTTTGGAAGTCTTTGGAAGTCATTGAAAGTCATTGGAAGTCTTTGGTAGTCTTTGGAAGTCTATGGAAGTCTCCGTTCATTGGAAGTCTGGTGTACACATTTCTCCTGGAGATTAACCCCTCGGTCCTGAGCTCCTGAGGGGTAAACGTTGGTTGGTAGAAATCATACAGGATGGTTCTGCAGCCTTTGGAATATTGCATCCCAATTATCTCAGGGACTTTTATGCATCAATGAGATTCACCGATCTCTTCTATGCCAATGAATAATAGTGTGAAGATGATTACTTGAGTAGCAGTTTCCGGTTATATTCGACTCGTTATTGTCCTCTCAGTAATCAGTTCAAGCCGAAGGAGCCTATAATTGGTTGGTGTGAGAGAATAGAAGCAACATTGCTTTGCAGCATTTGAATATACTGAATGATTGAATTCGATTATAAATATTGAACAAGTAATTGCCAGGGCGGTTCATCGCGTATGTTTTGTATTCAAGATCTAGTGTGGTATCATGTGAACGTGTCAGAGATCTCCTTGCCATATTTATTTTCTCCAGTAATGTACCCGTATACAGAACTGACAGTGAGTGACACGAGGAACAAAGGCCATCTCAAGGAAAATGAATACATGGTTAGACTTGGAAAAAGGTGGAAGTCTGTCAGTTCTTATGCACGAGAGACCTCCTTATATAGGGCTTCTTGTAAAAGATTCGAATTCTCTGTAGATCGCGTTTATGCTGACAGATCAGAAGATGGTTCTTTGTGTGAGAAGGAACGAACTGAGCATGGATAATCTTTCATCTAAAAACAGTTGAGTTATATGATTATAGGTACCTATCAATCATTCGAGATAATTGAAGGATTGAGCAAAACTCCCGGAACATAATATTTCGAGGACTGTTCATTCTTTTTTGAACATGACGAAATTGTTTATTATGAGTTGGGTCCTTTGACAATGTTCATATCTGCCGCTATTGGGTGTCGTCGGTTCTTTCCGTTTATGTTCGGCAGATGTGCTTCTCAAATGCTTTGTTTGCGTTCTGCGTCTGCCCGGTGTAAAATCAAAATCAAAATCAAAATTTATTCCTACACCCATACATACCTTTTTTTTACACATAATTGCATAATAAAGTTCAATGTATAAGCAACAGTTAATTACATTGTTTTTTCAGGTGATGATTCTGCTGGGAGGATACAACCTAGGTACGAGTACCTGTACTGTTGAAGTCCTTCAGCAGGACCATTTACATTTAGGAAATTGAGCTTTATTTGAATTTTTTCTCAATTAAGAGTGAGTGGATGAATGGCAGAAAAAGAAATGGAATTTATGGTGTTGATTAATTATGGCAGTTTTTTTACGATTTGCGGTGGTAGTAATTAGTAATTAAGATGAGAACAATCAAGCAGGTATTAATGAAATATATCAAATTTCTCAGGGCACTGTAAGAGCAATTTTTTTATTTCTTCTTTGAATTTAGGTTTTTTGGAAATTTGTTTTATGTTAACGGGCAGTGAGTTGAATAGCTTGGGTCCATAGTAAAAATAGGTTTTTTGTGTGAGATTTTTTGTAAATACGTTTATTTGTATATTCTGCCCTGTAGCTGATCTTGTGGTGGAGGTTAATTTTGGATATTTATCCTGCTCAGAAAAAATTTTTTGGAGACACTGATAGACGTATATTTGTCTGATTTTGAACAAGTTGGTTTCCTCGTACAGTAGTGTAGTTGAAAACTTCCTGTCTTTTTCAAATATTATTTTGATCAAGGTATTTTGAGCCGTTTGTAAGTTTTGTATTGTGGTTGTGAACGTTCCCCCCCAAATGGTTATACATTAGCTTAATATAGATTGAAATGACCTATATATCATTAATAGAATTTTCCTAGATAAAATATCTCTGATGTTGTAAAATTTATGCATTATGTATCGTACCCTCTTAGTAAGAAAAACTATTTGATCCGACCATCTGATATGCTGGTCAATCATGATACCTAAATATTTGATGACTTTTACACACTCTATAGATGGGCAATCACATTCGGGGAGATTACATTTGGGGTTATGAAGTTTAATGTTAAAGGTGGGCTGATCGGTTTTTGTGGGTGAAAATGTGATATATTTTGTTTTATTAATATTCAGGCTCAAAAAGTTGTGATTTAGCCAAAGTTTAATGTATTTTAGGTTTGTTTCTGTTTTTCTGTGGACTTCACTCCAGTTTTCACCCGTAAAGACAATCGCGGTATCGTCAGCGTAACTAATCAATTTTCCCTCGAAGTTTTTTATTCTGGCAATGCTGTTAATATATATTAAAAATAGAATGGGCCTTAGAATTGTTACTTGGGGGCCTCCTATCTGTACTATTTGTTCTGAACTATGCTTACCTTTCGGGTTTTCCAAATAAAGGTATTCCGCTATGTTAGATTGAACACTTCCTATAGTATTCTTACCTACAGATGAATCAATGCATTTATCATTTCTGTGGGTTGGAGAAAACCTACGTTGTTTATATCCTCTTGGTCGAAGTGCAATGTACTTTTTAAGTAAGTTCAAGGCTTCTATCCCGCTTCCTTCAACAATAGTGAAACTCTTTGAGGTGCAGGTCTTGGTTTCTGGTATCTTGATCAGTCGAACGGCTCCTCTTTCGTCGATGTCATCAATTGGCATTTTGACCATTTCATCACGTCTCACGCCTCCAAATACACCCATTAGCAGAACAACTTTGTGTAGCAGAAAAGTATTATCTGAGGAGCTTCCCTTCTGTAAATTAATACGTGTCCTCCTTCCAACTTCTTTTACTTTAGGAATGTATCCTATCGATTCAACTTTCAGTAAGGCCATCAGTTGACTGGATGTTGATTTCAGCTCTGAGACTGGGATAATTTGAAATAGATAAAAAAAATTGATTTTTCTCATGAAATGAACTCACCTTTCATCTTTCCATTTCAATAAATGGTCATACTCCTACTTGTATAAGTATTTGGATTTCACAGGCAGCAAATTTCCTCACGCTTTCTCAGCTGTGAGCGTCACATTCTGTGGGTCACCATAATTATCATGAACACAACCTGTTTCAGTTTCCTCCTCTAACAATCTGGCCAATTCTTACAAATGCGTCTTTTTATTGAATAGACAACCCTCAGCAACCTCTTCAATGTTTCCATAGCAACTGCATAAAAGCTCACTTGTGCTCTATTGCCGACCAGAATGCAGTAAATACTATGAGAAGGAATTCATGTAGTAAACATCGTCGTTTAAGATAATTTTTTCGTGAAAAATAAATATATATAAAAATAACGCCCATCGGGCAGCATTCATTTCTCAAGCCGATGGCCCTCGGGTGAGAATTACCCTCCGGGCGTTATGATCTATATAACGCACTTGGTACATAGAAACCTATTCAATCATTTCAACAATATTTCGAAGACCTACAATTTACTCGCCTTCAAGGTGCTGTAGCTGCCTTATAAAGCAGTTTTCGACCTAAGTTTATTGGACCATTTCTTCCAATTTTTGATCGATGAATCTGCTGTTGAAGTATGGCAGGCTAATTTCAAGTACATGATTTAAAAATTGGCGACTCAATGCGTGAGATGTAGGTGTAACAATATTTTTAAATCCATTCCACTCGAAAATGATACATCTGATCTATACTGCTACTGAAGTATGGCAGGCTTATTCCGAAACACATTGTGGAAATAAAATTCATGATTTTTTTTTTCAGAGGAAAACCCAGCAGCGATGCTTCACGCCAACAGCAGTGACATATCCACAGCCCTCTTCATCAGTATTCTTCTGGCGTTATTTCTGAATGCTTTGATTGCTTTGGACAGATGAGAATGTTGAACCAGGAAAGTGTGATAATGTAAAAAAGTGTATATTTGTAAATTATATAAATTGACTCGATATAGTAGCAGACTCTTATAGGATATAATATACAAAATACATGTCACAAATGGATGGTGTTGATGATGTTGATTATAGATGATATCTTTTGTGGAACATCGTGCATCATCAAGATCATGATTACTCTGTTCATTTCAAGAATCTCCTAAATCATTAAAACTTGAAGTGGTAGAGTTGAAATTCAATTAACCTTATCGAATTTACAGAATGACCCTCATGTATTTTGATTCAATTTGAAAGTGTCATGTTCTCTTGATTATGTCGAACAGTATCATCTGATTGAATCATGTATCCTAGCTGAAATGATATTTCTAATGAATCAATTCTTGCTGATTGATATAAGTATACAAGATGCAATCACGATGCTTTTTGTTTGGAAGAACAATAGAGATCATCCAATACTTCATTCATTCGACGTATAGTGGACGAGGTATCTAATTATAAATATTCCAATAAGAAATTGTGAATTGATACTCCATATTATTATGAATATGCGATGGAAAATATCGAGTGTCCAACAAGGAACTATTTAATGCATAATATATTCAACATTCATGTCGAACTCAAATATATCTGTTTTTTTCAACTATGCTGAGTAGTTTTATTTCCATGTTCCACGATTAGAATATATTCTAGACAGATTAGAAAATACTGGAAAATTCCGAATGAATTCATCATGTGAAGTGAATTAGATACTAAGAGTTCTCTCAAATCACTTCTTGAACAAACCACACAAAGTCAAGATCGCTGGTTTCGAGAGCTCAATATGTATATACAAGAGAAGAGTCTTATTTTGACCTGAAAATTAATTCCCTGAAATCGTGATATGGAATGTTGGAACACCCTGTATGGTATTACATAAACTATTGTACCTATCTTGGTATCATTGAAACTGTTGCTTTTTCTAAATGGAATAGGAAAAACTGAAAGTGCTACAGTAAAACTGATATCATTTTTCTTGAGAATGAACCCAATTTCGAAAGAATCAACTCTGTCGCGACTTTATGCTAGATAGTTTCATAACATTAACTAACTCTCTATGGAGGAGGAGGAGTCGTAGTAAAACGAGGTACATTTCTTGAGCATTGTCAGATGCAAGTTCCCCATTAGTCACATGAATTCCGCCCCATCTCATAGAATGCAGACGAAACAGTTGTTCATTATGTTCATTGTCCCCTTCTATGAAAACACCCTTGTGAATTCTCGGTCCTATTAGAACTCCAAATTGTGTATAGAATTATAGAATGACTCGGTCCGATCTGATTTGTCAAGGTGCAGCTGTTGATATTCGAACCACATATTGTTTGTTCGATGGTTAATTATCTTGGTCAGATCAAGATCATGATGATGATTCATCTGTTGACATCATTGGTCAGAATCAGGAAGAGGTTTGTGTACTTGACAGTGATTATACTGTAGTTAAAACAAAAAGCAAAACGAAATGAAAGAAAACATTTTCGTCGAAACAATACATAATTCTGAAAATATTGTACAGTGATGCCCAATAAATAGGTAACGACTCTTGTGAAAATCCCTTTAAAAATTCGGTGTATGCACCCGGACTAATATCTATTACAACCGCCCGCTGTTTCAATAACTTATTTCTTATTGTGGTTTGTGGTACGAGATTGTCAGGTGTATCTCTGAATATTTCTAAGATTTCGGGCTAATATTCACATCGCTAGAGTAATATTTTCTACTTCATCTAATGAAGCTGACTAAAAAAAAACTGAAAAGCATCATCATAGATATTCATTGTTCGATTCTAGTTGATATGAAATAGATAAAGAACTTGTTGAATATAAAGCGGTATCGGTATAATTTCTTTTTCAAATTAGAGTTTGTCGTTAGTATATCCTCCAATTATTTTTCCATGAAATCATATTTCTTAATCGTTCATAATATACATTTTTCTCGGAATTTGATGGTTTTGCGAAGAGAAAACGGTATACACCCTATTAACTTGAAACGCGATTATCTACTTCCAGGAATTCTAATTTTCATTCATTTCGAGTGTCTCAAAAACGCGCAGCAGCAAATAAATTCTTCTTTTTATAATGGGACACCTCGAATATTATTGCATTCTCAGATTCTACGTTGAATATTGAAGAAGTTTGTTAGATTTTTTTTATATAACAAAAGTTTATAGTTTCGGAATTATGAACAATGATTGTAAATTGATATTTCGACTATTTCAATACCAGTGAGGAAACATTTGGAATAGTATAGCACTGACAAATATAGCTATTTTCATTCGTCTCTAAACCTACCATACATATTTTATTTTCTGAGTGGTCATCGCTCCAAAAAATACGATTGTTTTGCGGTTTTTAACCTCACACACTGTAATTAGGTTTGTAAATTCTAGCAAAAATCAGGAAATCTCATTAGAAACGTTTTTCGAGAAGTATACTTATATTTATTTCAATCAATGTTAATTGAAATATCAAACGTGAGTAGTATGCTGTCGTAGAAATGGTAAAAATAAAAATAAGTAACGAAACATACTTTGTCGTCATCTCTTGAAACGTTCGAAACTATATTCGTTCTATATAAATAGTATTTGTTTCAATACTATAACTCTTCATCTATCTTTAATATTATTTTTTGTAGTTTCCGAGATCTATAGTATACTAGATACATAATACTTTGAATTCGTGATTTATAAGATCTGGAAATTCATAGACGTAGGTATTCAATATTTTTAGTTCTGATGTTTCCTTCGAAGAGATATGTATTCTAATATCACAAAACAATAAATAATCATCAATCTACAACGTAACTATTGCCCACCTATAGAGTGAAGAAATAATACCTGTCGGTCTGTCGCTTGATACTTCCTGGAAATTAACAAACACTTGATGATCAATGCCTTTGAAGGCTCAACTCTAATTCATAGAGATATGTGATTTATTCAAATTTCATTGGTTTACACATAATTCACCCTTTGTAGGACAGGATGTAAGAATTATGATTCGATTTTCATATCATTCATTAGTCTCTTTCGTTCTGATGAGATATTTGTGAATTCGTGATATTTTTATAATTTCAAACTGTGCTATTGTTGTTGGAAATGACTCCCCATTTGAGTGATGACCAGAAAACTGATATTTTAATCAAATTGAATAGTGGTTGGTCTATGGGTCGCCTGGCCGAGGAATTTGGCGTCAGTAAAACTACCATCTTCCGCATAAAGAGAAAGTGGGAAATTGATATGTCTATCAAAAGAAGAGTAGGAAGCGGCAGACCTAAAATTACGACAGTTGAAGAAGATGACAGAATAATCAACCACATAAGAGAAAACCCATTTAGCAACACTATGAATGCAATTCAGCAGACTAACTTTCCTGAGTCTCGACAAACCGCTCAACGACGATTTCGGACCATAGGAATCAGAAATTATACCGCTGTCAATAAATGTCGTGAATAAATGTCACTTAACAGAGGCCAATAAACGAGTGCGATTAGAATTCGCAAATCAGTACATCCGTCAGAATGATAATTTCTGGAGGAATGTGATATTTTCGGATAAATTTTTTTTCCAATCTTCACAATCTGGTAGGGTAAAATAGACCAGGAAGAAGTAATCGCTTCCACGAGGAATACGTTCATCCAACGTTCTCGAGTGGACGTTTCTCCATTCATGTTTGGGGTTGGATCAGCTATAGTGGAGCTAGGGTGTGTTGGGAAGTTGATGGACGATTTACTGGTGAACATTACCGAGCTATTCTGGAAAATGTTATGCTCCCATCGGTTGGCCAGATTCATCCAGAAGGAAACTTCATTTTTCAACAGGTGAGCCAATGGAGAGTTGAACTTCAATTTTGGGTTACCGAATCCAAATTTCAGGTTGAAAATCTGATCCCCAAATATATATATATATATTCATTCTCATATATTATCGCACTCCATAGCATTTTTTGGACCGATTATATTGAAATTTACATCTGACGAAACATTTTGAAGCTATATATACCTAATCGTCTATAAATTTGCTACTAGTTCCTAATTGAAAGTAGTATACTTTTAATAATAACATATTCCATATTGAATTAACATTATTGAATTCTCAATGTCTCGGGATTTTTTTGTGATTTGTTATTCATCCATATTTGCTGCTTGTTCAATGGTTTCTGAGATATTGAAGAATCTCGTACTATACTAACACCATCAACTCACTTATAATTTCAATGGAGATGATGATACATCACGTCCCATTCTTATTTGACAATGGTTCGAAGAAAATAATGTCGAAATGTTACTATGGCCTGCCCGAAGTCCCGACCTGAACCCTATAGAGAACATATGGGGATATATGGTGAAGAGTTTGTACAAAGGCAATTACCGGGCTATGAATAGAGACGAACTTGCAAATGATATAAGGAGAGTTTGGGACGAACTTCCTGACAATTTGACAGCAAATGTGATTCAATCTATGCCAAATCGATTGAGAAAAGTTATATATGCAAATGGTTCCTATACTAAATACTGACAGTATTCGACAGTGGCGTAACACTCGATTGAACCGGGAGTAAGTAGAACTTCCTTATTTATAATGGACCATCACAAATTTCTTCATAATTTCGACCCGTGATAACATTCTTTAATTCATATTTTGAAGCGTTCAGCATTAATATTTTCAGAAATGTATTATTTTCAACAGTGACATTTGAACATTTTGATTGAAATTTCACCGCCAGATAGAGATTCATTCAGATCAATTCTTCATATACAGTGTGTCCAGTGTAAGAGCGTACCACCCCTGTAAAATCGTTATTATATGATCGATTCTGAAAACATTGTTTTTGTTGGATAGGTATTTGGAATTCCCATCCAACAAGAAAAATGATTTTATTCTTGAACTGTTTTCATGGCTAACTGTGAACAATTTTATTGAACCATACTTCAAAAAATACAATGAAGGATTTTTT